TTCTGTTTTAAATAGCTTGAAATATGAGGGCTGGCAACTTCTTGCTTGTACTTTTTACTTTGTTTGCAAGCAACAACATTTGTTGGCTTGCAGTATTGTGGACATACCATAAAAACATCTTGCTGCAGTCCCATGGCAACACCAGCTGTTGTGTTCAGTGGGTCAGTTTTATTTTTGGGCGTCTCAGGAGAGAGAATCCCATGTTGTTACATTGTCAAAGGAGTAGAGTTGCTGGTATGATTTCCCTTGTTTGCCACTGCAGTCCAATGTCAGTGGTCTGTGATATGTCAAAATAGTGTATTTATGTTTTAAACTAAGGGCTGGAGACAGCCCTTTCTGCATCTTGTTGGTAGCTGGATGACATTTAGCTTCCTCGGTTCTTGAATTCCTGGGGATACGCTGATCAATAGACAAAGTCTTAGTCACTGAATGGACTGCAGGGGTGTGTATAAAAGGCGACTCCTTGCCAAACTAACAGCAAGACACTCTTGACCTTGAAGTGTGGTGCTGCAGCTAATTAGTACCACTTCATGCATGGTTTGCTGCATATACCTGTTCTTGTACATTGTTATAAATATTTATAGCCTTAAAACTTCAGTGTGTTCTAATCCTATAATAGTTTGTCACTTTTATTGAGGTCAGTAGCAGTCTTATTGGCATAAAGACTAATTGCCATATCAAGGTCTCTGCTTTTCCTGAAGGCTCCTAATTAGAATGCTAATTTCAGATGTGTGGTTGTGTTCACATACTGTAAATCCTGCTGTATGCCCATAAATGACACCAAAATCATAATCCAAGAGAATACCCTTCGAAAAATAATAAGGCTAATCCATGATATAGCAAACTATATATCCATGGTATAGTTTGATTACGAAATGTGTTTTCAGTGTGGCTGGTGCATGAGGTCACTTGAAACAGCCTTGTTGCTTTCCCTTGCCTTTCACATGGTCATGTGAATCTGATGATATGGTAGTTGAAGATTTATAAAATAACATTCCTGAGAACTAAAACCTATTTTCCCCAAAAGAGCAATATCTTCCCATTGGATGACCATGCTTGGTGGTAGTAAAGGAGTAAAACTGTTAGATTAGATGTAACCAGGAAATGGTTCAGGAAATCTAAAACTCCTGTCCAAGACCAGCCAGTTTGGTTGCTATACAACAGGGGTGTCAAACTCATCCAGCCCCCTTCCCTCTCTCCCTCCCTTAGGATACCTGATCTGATGGTTGCTTCCGCCAGTCTGGGACCTGCATTGGGTGTGGTGTGGATCCTGGAGCAGCTGGCATGGGTGCTGGGCACAGCTCCTGAGCTGCACTTCACATGGTGCTTGCCAGTCCAGGATCTGTGCTACACACGGTGCTTGTGAGCACCACATGCAGCACAGGTCCTGACCCAGGTGGAGGGGGCTCCTTAATGCAGCGCATGTTCCAGAGTAGGTGCTGTGTGAAGCAGTTTGGCTGGGGCAGCCCCCATGTGTAGCACAGCTGTCACTTCAGCCAGACTGTGGCACCCATTCTGGATGCCCTGGGATCTGCACCACATGCAGCTTGGGTCCCAGGTGAGTATAGTGAGTGCAGCAGCTGCTGGAGAGAGAAATGGAGGGGCTGGGTGGTGTGTGGGGAGGGAGTCTATGGGTCCAGTCTAGCCACGGGTGTGCACCGTTCCCCATGTGGGTCTTATCACACCCAGGAATGACACTGGGCACTGGATGGTGAGGCTTCACAGGCTGAATCCAATGTACAGGCTGGGCCATATGTTTGAGATGCAGTATGTGCTGTTCAGTGTTTTCAAAGCTGCTTAGTCTCTGGAAGGACAAGGGAAGCAGCAGGTACATAAATGGAACTGGATTTGGTGCAATTTAATTGTAAGTGCCTCTTTAGGAAAAAAAGTAACATTAACCCATTGAACCTAACAGCTGGTGTTACAATGGGACTGAAGCAAGATGTTTTTGAGGCATATCCACGATACTGCAACGTGGACTGTGTAACTTGGGAACAAATTAAAAAGTACAAATGAAAATTTGCTGGCTTTTTTTTATTTCAAACTGTCTTAAAACAAGCCCGTGGTGGGGAGGACTGGAGTTGAGGACTGGTTTAAAGCCAAAAAAACCTGACAGCAACCTAGAAATTTAACAGTGTAACTAACTGTTAACAGCCCTTCCTGAAGTCAGATTGACATAGTATTATGGAGTTTTTGTCTTACAGTTGTCATGGTCATGTACAGTGGTTACAGATGAATGGAGTAGAAGCTTGATTTTCATTTGTGCTGCGCTCCAGCTTACATCTACTTTGCAAGAACAATTTTTTTAGTGTAGCTCCTAAATGAACTCCTATCTTATATTTGATATTTATTTTTTTCTTATCCATATTTGAATATATAAATATTTTATTTCTTTAGCATTTCTTTCATCATGAGTTCTGAATTAAATGTTCCAGTGGATCCTTCCACCCCTGCTTGCTGCTCTGAACCAGGCACAAAAGGCATGGATTATCGGGACTGGGTCCGGCGCAGTTATCTGGAACTGGTCACTTCAAATCATCACTCGGTCCAGGCCCTGTCGTGGAGAAAACTCTACTTGAGCCGAGCCAAGCTTAAAGCATCCAGCAGAACGTCTGCTTTGCTCTCTGGGTTTGCTATGGTATGTTTTTTTAACTGCTGGATTCTGAAATGAGGGGTTTTGTAAAACCTTGCTCTGTTAATCAGGTTTGTTTTCTGTATGTGGGACTTTTATCATTTTTTAAATAAGGTAGCAGGGCATCTAAATGTGGGTTTTGCTTAGCTGCTGTTGCATAGGTTTTGAGGTCAGCTTTGTTGGTTGGTGTATGAGCTACCTGGAAATCATCTCATGATGCCCACAAGCCACACTTCCAAAATAGTGGCTGTGCTGGGGTGACAACGTCAAGAGTCTTGGTGTAAATTTAGTAGGTGCATCAAGTGCTGGAATGATGCACCTGTCCCTTATCTTGCCTCTAGATCTTGCGTATTGGTAGCTGAAACTGGTACTCCGGTCTCTTATATTCAGCAAATGTGTATGGTGGTAGGGAAGGGGAAGCAGAAACACCACTTAGGAAAAGTAGAGATCTGGCCTGTTCTTTGAATGTGCCCATACATGTGTGTGAGTAAGGGAGAAGACAGGGTGTTGCAACAGTGATTGCAGGGAGGGCAAGACATGGAGAATTCTTGGTTTGTTTTTAGGCTTTCTCTTCCACTTATGAATTTTTTTTTTTAATTTCCTGATAGTAAGTTTGTTCTTTGGTTTGCAGGTATTTTTCTTTCCAAGTTGGGAGAAGAAGGGTTTTTTATTTTCCATGGACTAATTCCCTCTGCTTTCTCCCTCACCTCCCACCCCTTAGGCGGGTTTTTGCTTTCTGTTTTTTACAAGGGGGAATTGTGTATATCAAGACATTCTCAACTAGGGTGCTGGGGCACTGTAGGGTGCCTTGGGATCCTTTCAGAGGTACCACAGGATGCCGTGCAATATTAGCACTATTAGGTGTGCAAACAGAATTCACAAGATAAACCAAGAAATTTCAAATAGGAAGCCACAATATTAAAATTATTCTGATATGTAGTTGTCTTTCTGAGTTTTTGCAACAGATGGATTGCTCTGTTATTTTTCTGTAGTGAAAAACTGAGTGAAAACTAAGCCCTGGCATTTTCAAGAGGCGCCTTGAGTCTATCCAGGGCTGCCTCAAGTCTAAAAGTGTTGAGAACCACTGGTGTATATGCATGCATATATTCATATCATATGTATTTCAATTTATAATGTATTTTGTATTCTGAAGTAGCAGATGGAAACTTCTAATTGTGAGACGGTTCCCATTAATTGATCAGGTATTTTTTTTCTCAGCCTGTGCTGAACAGCGGGTTTTCTTGTGCTAAGAATTAATAGTTAATATGCTGGTTCATAGTGTTTAAAGATGGACCTTTTACTTTTTAGTAGTGTTGCCAAGACTGTTACATGGTTGTGGAAACAGGATTATGTGGTAAGATTATTGTTGTCATCCCAGCCTGTGTGAGAAGTCATTAAGACTTTGCGTGAGCTTGTGGCCTGCCAGTGTAGTTGAATTTGCAGGATTGGAAGCCAGTCTTCACTCTGAAAACAAAATACTTCAGGAGGTTGAGAAGAACAGAGAACAGTGGAAAATTCTCAGCACATACACACTATAAACCATCTCACTTTTATATTTATGATGTGTTTCTGAGGTCCTTAGATGTCTGCTAAAATTACCCCCTGCAATTTATGGTATTTGATTGGTCTGTGAAGGATTCTTGCTCCTGTTAAAGTCTTTACAACAGTTAGACTGAAAAATCTAAAGTTGACACCAACAAGTCTTGCTCTTTGAGAGAGATTTTCAAACTGTTGAGATCAAATAGACCAGGCTGACCAAGACTTATATCCTGCATAGGAAATTGGAACCCCATGTTATTGTATTTACCTGAATCCAAGACAACGTAGTATTCAAGATGACCCCCCCCAGTAATTAGATTTTATACATGAAAAATTATAAATTAATTGTAATTTTACATGTATATAATCTAATTATTGGAAGGTTGTTATAATTTCCCCCCCTAAAGCAGCAGTAGGGAGAGTTGGGGAGGGCAGCAGATCCCTGCCACTTGCTGCCTGCTCTCCTCCCCATCTCTGTCCTCCCTCTTGTGCGTGCATCTCCCACACCCCATGACTGTGCCTGCCATCTGTTGCTCCCCCTTCCCTCTCCCCCTCTGGGTGGCTCTGGTTTTGGGGCAGTCAGAGGCCATCAGCAGCTGCAGTGGTCCCAGCAGGGCACCAGCAGCAGCAGCAGCTCTGGGTCAGTTGGGGCTGGAGCTAACAGTAAGCAGCAGTGGGGAGGAGTGGTGGGGTAGTGACAGGCTGCAGGACTTACCCACGCTTCCCCCTAAATCGCCCCTATACTTTCCGTGCCACATGCCACCAGCCCTGCCCAGGGCAGGCAGTGGCTGAGCTCTGGCTTTTGCTCCAAGCCTGAGGCCAAAGCCAGAGCTCAGCTTCCTTCTGTCCTGGGCCAGTACTCAAGTCTAAGACGAGACTTTTTCTCCAACGTTGGTTGTAAGTGTGTGTGTGTGGGGGAAACCTTGTCTTGGATTTGAGTAAATATGGCACTTGGCATTTTCTTTGGAAACCTGATTTTCAGAATATAAGAATTTCTTTAAAATGCACCATTTTTATTAATGATAAAACTGGGCATTTCAGTTACACTATCGTATCAGCACCTAACTTACCTCTGCTGCAGTAGTTCATTGGACAAATATTTGTTGAGCAGGTTGGGTGCTTTATTCCAAGAGAGACATCAGTCTGGCTACTGCTGAAAGTACATAAGTTTTTCATAGTAAAATAAGTTCTCTAAAGACTTGTGTGTATTTAAATATGTAAAGAAATATGATAGCAGACTATGGTATATAGACTTGGTTACCTCTCTGTTGTTGTTTCCAATTTAAGTTAGATCAGTATTGGCTGAAAATTAGTACCAGACAAGGCTATTCAATGAGCTAGGTTAAGAGGCTGCTGTTCATTCAGTTCATATTGGATAGACATCCACATAACACAAACTTGATCATTTGTTGGTGGTTTCACTTCTTGGCAAAGGAGAGAATAGGTCCAAAAGATACAGTGCCTCTCTTTCTCATTGTAATTCCCCTGCGTCTTTTTTGAGGCTGACTATTAGGATATGGAAGAAGGTGTGCTAACCCACCGCTGTAGGTGTTGGAAATGGAGGAGCTCTTTTTCCTTTGCTCTTTACCTAGTATTTTCCACAGAAATCTCTTGAATCATTTTTGTGGCCAGGAGAAGAGCTGCTTTTGCAGTCAGTCTTCTCAGCTTGTTGTCAAGTTGCTCTGAGGTTTGTGTTTGGTTATTTTTTTCCAACAGATCTACTGGACTGACTGTTTGTAGTGACTGCCAAGCCATCTGCCTAATGCTAACAGATATTTGTGTTAAAAGACATTAGCATCTTGTTCCTCACCCAGCTTTAGTCTTCACCCAAACTTCCACAGTTGAGTGTTCTCTGCTATTGTACTGTGGAGAATCAAAGGCTCATATCGTACTGACCATGAAGAAACAGAACAAGGACTTGATCCTTTAGGAACCTGAGCACTTTGTTCCAATTTAGTAAAGCATGCAAGTGTCTGCTCAAATTAAAAATGAATGAGTAATTCCATTGATTTCAGTGATGCATCTGACAAGCTTAAAATTGCTCAGTTGTATTTTCGTAGAATCAAATGCTCAGTATCTCCGGCTAGGTTTACAGGAGTGGGGTGCCATGGAAAGTCCAAATGTTACATTTGGACACAAGCCTGTATTAACTATGATGAGAGCCCAATGACACCCGCAGTTTAGGAACCCTGAGGCGACGCAGTCCCCGTAGCTGTTGCCAGCCCTTTTGTGATACTGTTTGAAAAAAAGGAAATTGCAGTCTCCTTTGTGGCCTAGACCATAAATTTAAGGATTTATCTAATCCGGCCCCTGCCTCTTCTAAGGTCAGAGCTCCCTTTCTCTCTGATATTTGCCTCTAGAAATTACTCCAGGTGATGGTTCCAAAACTCTGTCAAGGTCATCTTAAATGTCAAGTATTCTTTTGTTTTACAGAATGAGAGGAAGAAAAAGAAGCTAGGGATAAGAAATTTATTTAAGTGACTGGTGGGAACTAGACTGAGCTACATATATTGAAACATATTTACCATGATTTCCAGTGTATTGTTAGTTTGTTGTTTTATTTTGATCTTGGGTGGAGAACCACATGGCATCCTTCTTAGGAGAAAGTGCTAAGATGAAATCACACTTGTCTAATTCTTGTTTTGGCTAACACAATATTCCCTGCTTTACTTTCCCATCTCTCCCTCTTCTCCTCCCTCAGGATTGTTGTTTACTCCTGAAATGCCTCTCACTGAGTCATCAATCAATCTTAAAGATTCATCAGAGCACATCACGGAAGCCACCCTTAGGAAATATGTTGGTATGAAGGGAAACATCCAGTTAACTGCAAGCTGGTGCCCGTACCAGTGTAACAAGTAGAACTTGTGCCAGCCAACCTCATAGCTTTAGTACGAAGCCATAAATTGAACATCCAGATAAGGCTCTTATTCAGCATGCAAAATGTTAGGTCCTCGGGGAACTGTGCCCTCCCGAAATACCAGGGTGATCAACCCATGCCTGTTTTGTGTGGCACATAAGCCCCAGGTGCATCCATTCTAGTGTGCTAGGGCACCAACTCTATCAGGAATGCCTCTAGGGGTCAGGGACCCGAGTGGCACCTGGGGAGTGTCAGGGCTTAATTTATGGCACTGTGACCAAAAAAGTTGGCTACCACTGAACTATATAGTTGCTCTAATCTAAATGCAGCAGCACTGACAGTAGAACAGCCAAATGTAATACAAGGGTCTCTCTTTTTTTTTTCTTTTTTTTATTTTAGAGCTCAAGTAATTGAGGACTGACATTCCTCTTCCTCAATTAATATGGAGGGAATTGTAGAGAGAGAAACCTCTACAAGGCATTTCTACAAGTGTAACTTGGGTGCTCAACCTTGGGCCTTCAGGCCAAATCCAGAGCCATGGCATCTGGCCTGTGGGGATCCCAGTGGGTTTCTCTCCCTGCACAGCCAGATCAGGGCTGGGTCCCTGCAGCTCCTGCCCCCCACCCAAGCTGGATCAGGCCTACCAGTGGAGCCCATCTGGCTTGCGGGACAAAAAATTTGAGCACCATGGTGTAACTTTGTTGTGACTAAAAAAGATCATGCTGGAAACATGATGAAACTAATGTTTTCATTAATCCTCTGTAGTTCTTCCCAGTATATGAAGCATGTTCATTTGTGAACAGAGCTTTGTTTGTAAGCAGAGCAAGGAAAGAGAAACATAAGGATTCTGTCCATGCTGGATGAGATGTATTTATCAAATTCAGAAAGTCTGAGAAAATGGATTTTTGTCGCTTTATTCCCTTTAGGGACACGTTCTATTCAGTTAAATCAGAAATAGCAGAATGTAATCTAGGTACACTGGTCTGCTACGTGTTGTTTGTTAGTACAGTTCCCCACATTTTCCTGTGAGCCTCCAGTTCAGGCTATTGATCGTTTTGGAGTAGATGGTAGATGAGAGGGAAGTCATCCTAATCTGTGCCCTGCTCCTATCCTGGTAAAGTCCATTGCAGAGCTCCCATTAATATTAGTGAGCACTGGGTTGTGTCCCTAGTTTCCTCTTGCATTTGAAGGGAACTTGCTAATAGTATATATACCAGAGGAAATAATCTGGTGGTATTGTACAGACCCTGATATGACTATTTGAGATCTGTCTCAGATGCACACTTTATAAAAGTAGAGGGGTGTGGAATCTATTTGTCTAGTTGTGCTAAACCAGTCTGTTCCTTGTACCTTTCTTACACATCCACAAAGTACTAAGGGCGCTTCTGACTGGGACTGATCTGTTGCTAGTGTGCAAAAACGAGCCCTGTTTTGACATCCTTGTACATATGGATATTGATGGCAGGGCCCTGTTGGAATATACCAGGTCAAGTATGACTCCATGTACTTGTTTTTCCTGTCTGCTGTTGGCATGCCTCATTAACACCACTATAAAATCAATAAATATACCTGCAGATGGATCTTAATCTGCTAAGTTTACTGGCGGAGACATTCAGTACCCAACTACTGTTTTCCAGAGATAATTACCAGTGTAATGTGTTTGATTTATATAGATTCTCTTAGCTGAAGATTTTCTGAGTGCTATACAAAGGTGAAATTTCACAACAAACCTGAGAAGTATGTATGCTAAATATTTCCCTTGCTTTGTAGAGGGAAAAGCTGAGGTGGAGAGAGGTAAAGTGAGATGTCCAAATTGTCACAGTTAGCCACTAGCAGAATTGGATTGGAACTTGAGTGCTGATTCCTGGGCCTCTGCTTAATTTGACCTGTGCCTAACTTCATGATGAAAATCAAGAGTGTATGTGCAAAACAATTATATCAGGTTTATAAATTTAGCCTCCAGGAAGCTATTTCAGTAGAGTATTTTGGAAATAAAAAGCTTTTGTGGAATTACCAAACAGATAACTAGCTATAATTCATTTCTACTGAGTCCATACAAGAGTTATTGGAAAATGAGAGGGAAACTTTAGCCATGTTTGTAGTAACAAGGCTTTAAAATGGCCTGGGAATAGGAGGCACTCATTTTAACCAAGAAGTAATTATTGAATAGCTTGTTAGCTTTCTAGGGAAGGGAGTAACAGCTTTCTCTGACTTTATTCCTTATGTACCAGAAGTTAACTTCTGCTCTATGACTGCTAACATCGAAAATAGAAGAAGTTATGTATATGATGACTTCTAGAGTTGTGTTTGATATGAATCAAAGTTACATTTCACTGTCTAAAGAATTCCTCTTTTTGTGGTTTTGATTTGACACAATTCATAAAAGTCACAAGCATGATAAGATTTTGCTATTATAAAATGAAAACCAACCCTGCAAAGTTGAAGTAATTTTTCATGTTTTTGGACATTAAATTTATGTTTTTGTGGAAGGGAAAGATATAGGCTGTACATGTATCTTTATAGAAAACAAGAATTTCCCATTTAGGCCCCATTTCAGGAAAGCATTTAAGCATGTGTTCAAGTTTAAGCACCTTTCCTAAAGAAGGATACTTTCTTAGCCTTGAAAAGTGAAATGTGGAAAATGTACCAACTATTCATGGTTGGCTTGTTTGAATTTTTTTCCCCCAGGTCGCCATGGTAGAAGTGCAGTTAGAGATGCAGTATAAGTATCCCCAAATGCTGCTGATTGCTTTCAGTGCCTGCACAACAGTGCTGGTTGCAGTTCATCTCTTTGCCCTTCTCATCAGCACCTGTATACTACCTAATGTGGAAGCAGTAAGTAACATCCACAACCTGAACTCTATCAGTGAATCCCCACATGAGCGCATGCATCTCTACATCGAGCTGGCTTGGGGTTTCTCCACGGTCTTAGGAATCCTCCTTTTCCTTGCTGAGGTTGTGCTTCTCTGTTGGATAAAATTTCTTCCTGTGGACTCCATTATGAAAAATGAGACTACCATCATCCAGCAGCCTACTGGCCATGCTGGCTGGCAAGCAGCACTGGTTTCTACCATCATCATGGTGCCAGTGGGTCTGATTTTTGTGGTCTTCACCATCCACTTCTACCGCTCTCTCGTCCGGCACAAAACTGAGCGCCATAACCGGGAGATCGAAGAGCTCCACAAACTGAAAGTGCAACTAGATGGACATGACAGAGGGCTGCAGGTGGTGTGACAAGAGCAGATACAGAATCAAAGCTAATCATTGAGCTAACACAAATAGCAAAGTAAACCATTTTTGCTACCAGGAGCTGAATACACCAGTGGTGGTTTAAATATCTAAAATGCGAATTGCCTGCCATACATGGTTCTAGTGCTGTTTCAGACCCTGGGATCTCTATTTCTGGTCCTACACAACTGTGTACTTAAATAGACACTGCCATGTTGTTGAACCTCAACATTTTACCAACTTTAACATTATAGTCGGGTTTCTGATTCCCTGTTTTTAAAAATATAACTTTCTGTTGCCAAAGGTGAAAGTACTTCAGCTTCCCAAAAGTGCTGTTATTATAGGACCTGTTTTTATGCATCTGAGGTCCCTTGCTGGCAGTATATCACCAATGAACTGGCAACCTCTATTTCTAGGCTTGATTTGGTAAGCAATGGCATCTCCTACAGATTTCACTGGGAAATTGTGAAAGTATGATGGAACATGAGTGTTTGTCACCTTTATTATTAAAAGGGTGTTAGAAATGGAGGCAGGACTTGAAATGTGTAAAGACCTGAAAATCACTCTTGGTTCATACATTTTCCCTTTTCAGTCCCTACTGCTCTTTTACAACAGGGGAGCGAGATTTTTGGGCTGGCAGGAGCTCTGTTTTTTGCCTACTTCAGTAGCATCCATTCTTTTGGAATGAGTGTGTGCTCAGATTCAGATAACAAAGCTTTGTGTAAAGCCTCTGTGAAAAGCTTGCAGACATTTTCTTTTAATATAAAGGTTGCTTAAGGATGTGGAATTTAGAAAGACTAGAAAAGGAGATGCGGTACAATAGCGGACAGTGCCGTAACAAAACCTGGCTCTGTCATCTTCATTTGCTTTGTATATACAAGAACAAAATACATCCTTTTTCTGGCCTTGCTTGTCTCACAGAGAAGGGTTGGAGTCCAGATACCATACCTTTGCCATATTCTTTTTTCCTAGTTGTACCTGAGAGGAAAGTAGCATTTTAAACCTGTCTAAAGTGTCAAACGGTTTCTTCCCCTAAAGCAGCTCCCACCTCTGTGGCACATGATAAATTTGGGGGAGCTATGTCCAGGCTTTGTCAAAGGGAGAGCTATGCAGTTCAGGAGCTCTCATGTTTCCCTTGCATTGGCTGTTTTTCATCTGTAGTGAAAGTGATTCCTGTTTGTGTCTGCAAAGCTGAGGGAATGAAGCTTATAAAACACTGTAGCTTTTCTGGCTTTAGAAAACACTCTATAAATGAGGTCATGATTAATGGTAACCATTTCATGCAAGAAAAATTATTGTTCTGTAATAAGTTGCTTGCTTTTCATTTTTTAAGAGAAGAGCAATTTGTTTCAGTTTGATAAGTAAAAGTACATGAACAAAATCTGTCCTGTCTTGCTGCTTAGGCTGAATTCTGCCCTACGCCATTACGCTCAGCAGCAGTTTTACAGTCTCTCTCAGCTGCCAGTCCTGAATGTTTGTAATGTTTTCTCTAAGCCCCTCCCTTCTCATCGCTGGTATTTAAGTGTAACATCAGCATAGTCGGTGTCAGATTCCCAGCTTGGAGAGTGTAAATCCCAGTGCAGAAAGACTTGCATTTTCTCTCTCTTGTCTCGTAAGTTACCTGGAAATAGACTTTTGACCCTTTCTTTTTTATTTTAACTGTAATTTGTGCTCAAGCTGCTTAGCACTCCTCTGTTTTTTGATCAGTTATCCTGAAGCACGTTTGCAGATGTGCTATTAAAATAATGACACAATCTGCCTACGTATACATGCCAAACCACTGTTTGTACTTCCTTAACTCAAATACACTTCCAGGAAAGAGCTTGTTTTTAAAATGCCTATAGCACTTCCTGAGCTATAATCCTGTGACCAGTACCAATGCTAATGCTCCTCTTTTATATAGCTATCCTTTCCTAAAGAATTCTAGTTTTAAACTTCACGCAGGAATCTCTCCATCTAGCTGCTATTTGACTTTGAGCAGGATCACTATGCAAGTTTTAAGATTGAACATTGTTAATGATTGCAGTTTAAACTGCTATGTTCTGCAGACCAGAAGTTTATCTGTTAGTTGATTTTCAAGTTGGGCCAGGGCATCAGGATGGGATTTTCATGTCACCACTGTAGAACCTACAGTTTACATGTCAAAATCTAATAGAGACTGTAGTAATGAAAATAGAGCGTATAGATGACTCCTCCAAGGAAGCATCTGTGGTGGGGCCCAAAGCGTGAATCCTTTATTTCTCAGTCATAACAGGATTAACATTTTGCCATCTTAAAGGATACCTAGAAATGGAAGAGTAGGTTTGAAATCAAATGCTAAGATTGAAACATTTTATAGTGTACAGCTCAATACATTGTGTAGTGTACATTTGGTGCTGCAAAAGCAACATAACTGTTGAAAGCATCTCTAACTTCTCAAGTTAATTCCTTGCAACTATAATGAACTATAGCAAAAAGGGAAATGCAGTGGAGATTGTGCTTTGATTTTTCTCAAAAAATGTAGCAAGATGGGAAACGAAATTCCCTGAGATGGGATGTAAGATACTGCTGAAGGGGACTGAATTTGGAAAAGTTGCCTCACTTCAGCTGCACGTCAGACTGTCTATCAGAGACTGTCTCCTGACAGCTTGATACTCCATCTGAATCGCATCCTCTCCTTTCAGGGTAAATAAAACTAGAATGACAAAAAACAAGCTTATGCTTTTTGCTGTCTTTAGCCCACAGCCCTGTGCTGACTGTTGGAGTCCTTCTCCTTGTGTCAGGGACTCTCAGTAATTCTTACCATCTTTGGCTGTGGGGGTCCTTGACTTTTCCATCAGCTTCTTTCTTGAGCCCTTTTTAAACTCCTTCCTCAAAAGTAGCACTTCCCTTTTTTCTCTCCTGGCTCTTTGTCTTCTCTGCTCTCATAGAGACACTGATGCTTCTTCTGGAAAAGCTGCACAGACTGTTGGCAATAGATGCAAAAATTATATAAAATCCAGAATGGTTAAGGACAACTGTACTTAGCCAGTTGTGCATACCTGTGACAGTATGCCAGGCATTGTACCTGCCACTTCTTGCATCCTCACAGGAACAGGATTTCTAGTTGTGCAACTTGAACATGTCATTTTTTCCCACTCCACTGGGAGTATGCTGTTAAACTCCTGCTGTGTGTTGTGCATACATCTCTGTACTATTCAGTTACATTGCCTTTGTGTCATCTGTGCCAGGTTTTCAGTCTTTGGGGTGCCTGGCAGGTAGGTGCTGTAGCAGAGGTAAGCTGCTCTGTGCATTGAGACTCTGTGTGGGTTTTTAGGGGTTTTACAGCTGCCTGGCACTATGGTTTCGTCCTCATCTCGCTGCAGGAGTTAAGCTCTTTTTAGGCCACAACTTTCTTTTGAAGTCCCACATTCTAATACAGAATTTAATGAAGGGAGGTAAATATGCCAGACCACAGCAAAGCAGTGTGAAGACCCGCATCCTGCAAAGACTTCTGGGCATAGCATTACCTGTAAGCACTGTATATATTTCTGCTAAGCTCAGTTAAAGTGTTTGCAGTACTTGGGACTACAGTTCCTCACTTAAAACCAGTCAGGAATATCCCTGTTGCTATGCCCTCAAGGTTCGCAGTTCGCATCTTCCCCTTCCCTCAGAAGACTGATGCTGTCACAAAAAGACACTCCTCACATACCTTCCATCTAGAGTGCCACAAAAATCCCTCTCCATCTCAGTCCGATGCCCAAATGCCAACATAACCAGGCCAGCACATTTATTTTCTAATTAATTTCTTAATATCAGTCTAATTTGTATCCTTTTAAAAAATGAACACTCTAAATTATGTGATAACCATCTAAATTTAGAAGACATCGCCAGTGCATGAAGTTCAACACTTGCCTGTGTTTTGGTTGTAGGCACTGATATTCAGAGAGGAATGTTGACTCATTTAAGTGCCAGAGGAAAAATTCTGTTGAAGTCGACAGGTTTTGCACTTTGTCTATTTCTGCTTTATCTACGCATGGAAAGTATGTTATGGAATATGTATATGTGCGTGTGTCTATGTACAACTGAAAAGAACCCATCCTATGTGAAACAGGATAAACAAGTTCAAACGTATAGCAGACCTTTCCATATTCGGTCAAACAACTTTCATTTTCCTTTTGCAAAATGTCCAACATGCAAGTCACTGAATTTTAATGGACGTCTTGTTTGTGGAAGGTGTTTACAAGTTGCTAATCTTCATTAAGAAGATAAACAGCCATGATAGGAGTTAGTGTTACATTTTAAACTATTAAAGTACACTTTACATTAACTGCATTAGCTGAGTAGCCAAAAATGTTCTAAGCAGCTCTTAGTTGCACATTAAAAATCTTTTTGTACTTTCCACAGATCTCCCTAATGCCTGATAATCCAGAAAAAAACTCTTAATGTCCTATAATGCTGCCATTCTGCCTTTTTAGGAAAGAACATGCATATGCTTCTGACCAAGTAAAACAGAGCCACTGTGTGTGTTACTGATGCTAAAAAATGGTGAGTGTTGATCTTTTGGGGAGCTCTTAAAGAGGTGTCCAAGTCAGAGTTTACTCAAAGAAAAGTATATGCTAAGGTGTGGCAGCAAACAGTGACCAAATGAAACTTTGGTATCTGTAAAACTGGATAATGGAAATACACTACTCTGAGGTTTTTTTTATTCGGAATACAGGAATTTGCGCTTGTAAAAACCTAATTATTCCAAGTCTCTGCAATCTCTATGTTCTTCTGGGCTTGGACATTGTCGTCCTTTATACTGTAGCTGAAAACACAGCTAATAAATAGCACAGTATCAACTGTAATATGTCCCATTTGTCTTGTTTAGAGGTTACATCCTTTTTGAAGCCATCTGGTTTCATTATTTGAGAGATTAACGAGATGATACAAAATATTTTAAGAAAGCAGTCAGAAGACTGAATGTAAATTAAAGGGAAAAAATTTGAGACTGAAAATAAGGACCAAACATTAATGTAAATACTCTTTCTATTGCAGCTTATTATGGCAGGGGCTAACTACTGAAGCCAAGCAGTCTAATTTATAATAGTGGTTCCCATACAGTGGTTGTTCCAGGCTAACTTTACGAGCCTTTGTACTCAGCTATAGAAAGCTGCTGGTCAAATGAATATGCTCTAAATCAAGATAGAGCTGGGGCTTAGAATGTCTCAAGATTCATCTTGAGATAAAGCACTCTGCACTAATGCAAAACTGGCAGCGGGTACGAGCATTACAGATAAAGTTAGTCTAAATTGGTATGTTGATCAGAAAGGGTTGGGAGCCTCTAATTTAAGAGCACAAGTTATTCAATCCTGCTTTCAGGGCGGACTAGAAAAATAGTAATTTCAGAGTTGTTGGGTTTTTTTAACCAAAACATGGCTGCAGTAAGTAAATCTCATATGTGCTGCATTTCCAGTGATATCAGCTGCAAACTGCTATCATGAAGTGACTGATCTGAATTCAATATATTGTCTCCTGCCATGGGAAATCTTGTGGAGGATAAGCTTTACCTGCTGCCAGCGTGTAGATGATGCTCTGTTGTCAGTATGTCTGAACAGCAGGACATGCTTTCAAAGCTTACGTGGAATTTGACTTCTGTCAATGTACATTTAACACATGATAATAAATTTAAGAGTTAACATGTCACTTGTATATTTCTTTTTAAATATTTGAGTAAATTGACCCTGGTTCATTGCAAGTATTAACAGAACTATGGTTGCATCTGTAAACTCAAGCTGATTAAATATATTGGATAATTGAATACTTTTCACTTGTGTGTCATTTTTTGGTAGCAAACAATTTTATACAGGTGGCTATAACTAGTCTAAGAGCATGTCACCACTATAAAAATGCTGGTTTATTATACCAGCACAATCCTTTTTGCATAGAGGTTATATCAGCCAAACTGCTCTTTATCCCCATACATCATGCATGCTCTCTGATGAAAACAATCTTATCTTAGTAAAAGTTCGGTTAGGTTGATGATTTTGCACTAAAGGCTTCTGCTGGCACAGTTGTATCTATTTGGGCTCTGACCTCTTCATGCCCCTGACCAACATAGCTAATTTGTCAGTTGTAGGAAAAGCTGGTTTCTAGACTTCAGTTCTGCCATCTTGACTGTGTTGGATGTTATAAGAAAAAAGTTAGGCCTTAGTGCTGCTGTCTGTCTCTTTACTCATTCTTGAAATAATACTCCCACAACTGTGATTAGCAGCAGGGCTCAGAAATTACAGAGGATCAGAAAAGAACACAATCTTCTTGGACGTCTTGAGTATCTGAACTCTGTCCAAGCTGTCATTGGAAAAGTCCACGTCAGCTTGCTGCAAATGCTGCTCTGAAGTCCCAGAAGATGAAGGTCATACACAGTATTTATAATTAATCTTCGCTATTACTTTTCCTTTACTAAAAATGTAAGCTGTGCTTTAATTAGCTCTCTGCACAAAGTAGTGACTGTGGATAGATGCTTGCCTACCTTCTTCCCTAGAGAGCTGGTCTTTAAAGGAACCATGTAAAACAAGCAAGGAGACAGTTATGAACCTAAGGTACAGCTCTAAATGTAGAACCTCACACTGGCTTCAATTAGAGGTTAGAATCTGTGCCTTGAGTTGGGCTGAATTGCAGCCGGAGATGGAGGGAGTACTTTATTAACTGAATGAACTATTTTGTTTTTCCAGGAAGAGGCGTTATTTTTCTTTTGCTACTAACCCAGGCAGGGAGAAAAAAGTGTGTAACATGATCCCAAAAGCTTAAAGACCAGGCAGTCTTTCTGCTTGAAGCAATGTGTTTATTTGGAGGTTTTGAATTGCCTTACAAAAAATATTGAGACTAATTATAGAGACAGTCTCAAACTGTAAATCATTTGAAGATCCCTAGGTTCCTTCCAGAGTTAAGAACATATTTTAAATGTCTGCAGTATACTTTTTTCTTTCTTTCTGCATTTCATCACATTATGGATAAAACATACAATAGCCATTTCCTGATGTTCATCCAAGAACTAACAGTAATGGCTGGGTTCTTACCAGGGAAATGTTATTTAGTATAACAAGAGAGCCCCTCTCTTCACTGCATTTATAAAATGTTTCCATTTGACCCAATATTCGTATACCCCTTCCACTCCAAATAAAACTAATCATAAAAAATTCTGAATATTGATTTCTGAATATCCAAACCAGGTATCACTCCAGCCTTTTTCTTGGTCATACTGGTTTCCCCTGAAATGAAAGAGCTATGTCCAGTAGTTCTTTACCCAGTTTTTCATGCTTTCCTCCTAAACTGAACTCTGTAGACAGCTCCCTAAAGGTGATGCAGACCCGACGATGCTCAATATGCTTGCGGTGAATTGCATGTTTCCACTTGTAGCGTGCAGCGCCATACAGCACAACCAGGGATCGTCTAGGTAAGTGAACAGCAACAGTCACCTCTTTACAAGGAACAAGCTTTGTGGGAGTTGTATGGTCAAGGTCCCAGTTGTCTGAATTTTCACAAGCTGACGTGGGAATAAAGTTATTGTTTTTACAGTTCTGAGAAGTTTGAGGGGATCCAGTTTGATCTGGTTTCTCACTTTCTTGACTGGGGGTGGCAAATAACTGGATGCTGTTCTCTGAATCACAGGACATAGAGAGCACGGTTTTTGAGAGTAAGTTTAAGCTAACCAGTCGCTCTCCCCAAAGCCACCAGTCATCGAAGTGTGGGTCAATGGCAGAACCTCTTTCAGGAAGATAATCCAGGTTACACTGCTCAACAGGTAAGAAACCTTCTAGTATAGGATGAGCCTTCATCCGCTTCACAATATCCTGGCTAAAGCTGGGCAAGCCGACGAAACAGCCCGCCCTCAGCTTCTGCTTCTTGAAGTTCACTTTGGGTCCATAGTCCTGGTGAAAAGGAAAAACAGGTCCCAATAAGTATTCAATGAAAGTCATATTCATTTCCTACCATTTGGTTCTTTCATGCGTCAAGTGGGAAATAACACTTCAACCACACGTGCAGGACGAGATGCAGCGTCCAACCTTGTAACAATGAGCCTGGCTGGATACAGCTAATGCCTGATGTAGGTTGGGGGGAGACGGAGCCGGTTCTAGGATCTCCTTTACGCAATGGGCAAGGGAAACGTGAGCAGAAGCGTGAGGGTGAGCACCTCTCCTTCCCCAAAGGAGACCAGATGGTAGAAAGAACTGGCTTCCCCCAAAGCACCTGCTTCCTGCGGCCAGACTGGGACGGCTTCCAGGGATCCTGGTCCATTGCCCGAACCAGCTCGGCCTCCTCCGCGCGGCTAAGGAAATCCTCCAGCAGGAGCACGCCCGGGAAGGGAAAGGCCCAGCCGGCAGCGGCCGAGTGCGGGTCCCCGACAGCCAACCCCCCGGCGGGGCGGTAGGTGAAGGTCTCCCCGTCCTGCAGCAAGGAGAAGGGTGCGGGCACGTGAGGCCTGTCCCTGCCGGGGGGTGGGGGAGGGGGACACCCGGGTCTAGCGGCCTAGCACTGGGGAGAGGCTCCCTCGGGACCAGCAGCCGCTTCCCCCGGGCACGTGCCGCGGACAAAGCCGGCGGCGCTCGAGCGAGGCGCGGCCTCCCCCCAACTCCACCCGCCAGCAGCCGAGGCTAGGCCTGTGCAGGACGCCGGGTCCCGGCCGCAGACTCCCCGCGGCGCTGCGAGGGGCCAGGCTGGGCTGGGCTGGGCTCCCCCGGGCGGGCGGCATCGCCCCCGGCCCCTCCCCGGTACC